GCTTTATCTCATTGCAACTAGAATCAAAAGGGTGACTGGCTCTCACTAAGTAGAATTATTAGGTTGCAAGAAAGGCTTCGAAACAGTCTGTTCGTACTGCTTCTGGGTTTCCCATGGGAACTTCCATAGGTGGCCTGAAAGGGGCGGGCTTTGTTGCATATGCTGTTAGAATCGCCTTCTCAACAAAGGAGGTATAGGAGTAAGGAATGATGGGCTGAGGGCTTGGCTACAGTCAATAACTCAGCGGTCTGCAGCACGTCCATCACGAAACGGGAAACCCAGAAGGTAACCTATAGTAATGTAGAAAGGGCAACGGAAACTGGCTATGTGCTCGTAAAAAGGTACCTTTTCAAAAGTGTGAAGAACCTCGGTGCTTTGGGATGAAGAGCTATATTATCAGCCCTTCCTGTGTCTCCTATTTGCGAGAGTGGTGAATACGGTGGTGGAATTCCGTCAAACGAAGGAGAAGCCTTCAAACGAAAGATGATTGCAGTTGATCTCGCAGCTCCACACGTACCAGTTCAGCGGACCTTAGGCCGCGGATGAGACGTCTTAAGTGCACCAGGGACAAAGGACGAAACGAGAGTTCGCATCAGGAGAGACAAGGCAGCGTGGTTCTGGAACGATGGAAGGTCTAGCGATGGTTAAACAGAATAACGATGCATACAAGCGCTGGCAGAAGACACGAAGCCCTAAGGAGCTCGCTGTCTGCTGGAGCTAGACGTCATGGTAAAAGAGCCCATGGAGAGACCACTTAAGACTATGCAGACGACATCCTCTTGATAGCGGATGACTGAGGATAGTTCAGAGCAACATATGCAAGAAGGCATCAATGGCAGGAGGTGTTGGTGAAAGGTAGGCTCCGGCAATCTATCCAGAAGATCAAGTTCAGCAGCGATCATCAGCTATTCGCTTAGGAGGGCACAGAACCGATAATGGACGGCCGTGGAGAAGGAATCGAATGAGTAGAACGCTTTCCGATACCAGGGAGTTTAGCCTTTGACACTAGCCTGGATCGGGCAGGAAAGGTGGTATGAGCGTGGCCTTGATTAAATGGAGGGAGTCTATAAAAAGGCTCTGCCATCGAAGGTGCTTTTGAATGCACGAAAAGGTGTACTGGGAAGTGGTGAGGCCTGCAAGTGCTGAGCAGCAGATAGAAATCATGAGAGGCAGCATCACTCGGTTTGAATGAGAATGCTGCCCCTCATGGTTTTTCTCTACTGCTCGCTAGGTGTGCAGCTGCACGGACTGAACAGTGTCCAAAAGTGTCGCTGTGGCCGTGATGACTGTCCCTGTCCAACTGATGGTGCTGGAACAGCTTCTTACGGCATGGACATGTGCTAAGTAGGCCACAGACCCACCCAATAAGGGTAGCGGGACTTCGAAGATCAAAGCAAGCGACCCTAGGAGCATCAAGGTGACAGTGAGAAGGATCTTGCTGCAGTAATTGCCATAAGATGCCGTGGAGAAGAGTAGGTAGCAACTTCTCACGGATACAACGGGCCCTGCGACTGCATGGGATTACACCAGAAAGATGAAGAAGCGCCCACTATACCCTATATTGCCTTCTGCCTAAAGAAAAAGGAGTTCTCAATCCTGATGTTCTTGGTGAATTGTTTCCTTTTATCTTCGGCTTTGGTCTACTTTAGTCTTCTTCAACGCTTCAGCAAATAACCATGCCATATGGGTTTGTATGCCTCCTATGCGCGTTTCGCTCACCTTGAAACGCTCTTCTTCCTTCACTCTGGTAATTTACCAAGGTAAAAACACATCCCTTTCAAGATCATCACGATAGCTGATTATGCTCTGTCGGTGTAGATTGTGTTTTTGGGCGCACATCACATGAGCAGCTTTTCCCAGTTTCACCTCTGAAGATCCCCATTTCTGCCGCTATTCCTTAGGCTTCTAGGCTATCCTGAAACCATATTATGCATTTTCAATAGATGATTCCTTTAGAGATTGCGATGCAGGTCGCTTGCTTCTTCCCCATCCATGTCGAATGCTCACCTAAGCAAAGCTTTTGTGGTACTTAAGTCGTCCTGAAAATGAATGGCAAGTTTGTTTTTGGTCGAACAGCGCTCATACTAGTACGCATACGCATTCCCCTTTTCCCTTCAATGAGAAATTGTTTTCCGTGTAGAGCATCCTATACCGTTTCACAAAGGAATTACGGTAATCTGCGTCTGATATCGCCTAATTCAAAGAACTCTTTGTCTACGAGGGATAAATTAAACCATTCGCCTTGGTGGGTTCTATGTTGGTGGACATATCCCTCGTTATGTACATAGGTTATTCTTCTGAAATCACTGGAGTGACATCAGCAGGCACTTCTAGAAGATCACTGCGCGAGAAGAGTAAGATGGCCACTTCCTTAGATGTTGCAGTGAATATGCAAGCCTTAAACCTTCTCGAACTTGCCGAGCTCGAATAAGTAGAGCTCAAGAGTGCCGTGATACGAGGACGTGTCGGTTGAGCAAGGATTTCATGTACTTCTATAGAAATCATCTTAGTTCGTTTTTCTCAACCACGGAGAACTCAATTCGGAAAATGGCATCCATGTGTAAGAAAAAGTAGACTGCTCAACAAATTGGATTAACTTTAACAAGATTATGGAAAAAACAGTTGCATGGCGCATGCTGGAATTTCCGTGACTGTTTTCCTGCGCATTTTTTTCGACCACGCGAACACATGTTTTGTATAGAATATTTATCGATACTCTCTGTTGATGTAAAGCTTAGTGTTGAGGTTGTTGCTGTTGCTGCTGCATTTGCTGTGGCATCTGTTGTTGCTGTGGCATTTGTTGTTGCTGAGGCATCTGCTGCTGCTGCTTGAGCAAGGTCCAAAAGCCAGTTCTCGTTTTACCGTAATAACCATAGTAGCCGCCATAGTATGGGTATCCGTAGTATCCGTAGCTGTACGAAGGGTAGCCATAGTAACCGTAGCTGCTGTAGTAGGGCGAGTAGTACTGAAACAGTAATGGAGGACAAATGAAAATAAGTTAGACCTTACTTCGAGGGCTGATGCGCCAGGAAAAGGAGCAGGTCTTGGCTAAATTTGGTTCTTGCGCCTGGAAAAAGCTTCAGCTTCTAAGGGTAGAAGATTTAACAAACTCACGTATTGTGCTTCAGTTTCGGCGACGAATGCGCACAGAAGAACGAGAGCGGCGAAGAGAACGCTGAAATGATTTATTACTGTAATTTATTTATCCCTTATTTTTAATCTAAGCATTTGGGGAACTCAGAGCCTCCCAACTGGGTTCCTTATTACATCCCGGGCTATTCCCAAGCGGAGCGATGAGGTAAAGATGTAATGGCCATTCAGAGGCTTCAGCTTGAAGGCCAGGGCCAATGAGGAACAACTTACAGTTGCTTGTTGGAGGAGGACATGATGATGTTTGACGGCAGTAGCTGGTGGAAGCAGTGAGGTGGCACTGAACCCCGCGGGTTTCCTTAAATACATCGCATTAGTATCTGTCAAGCGAGTCAGCGAGTATTTGCTTTGCATCTTTAACTCTTTCTCGCCGATAGCAAACATTTAGTTCCTTTTTTTCTGTACGGCCGCACACAAAAAGTCACTATCGGTCTGAGGTTAACGAGGTCTGAGGTTGATTAGTCTTGCCGATCTCAGCTCTCCAGCTCTTTGCTAGCGGCAAATTTTATTTATTTATAAATCTAAATATTTTTTAATCACTTGGAACATGTACCTTGAAAGCGTCAGCAAATCAATGGAGCAATATGATAAATATGCCGTGAAAATCTAACAGTCTGTGAGAAAAAAATATCGATGATAATATCAATACTAATAAACAATTACCACTACGATGTAGATAAAGAGAGACGGTAGCGAAACAAAGGTGAAGGAAAAAGAGGTAGCAATAAGAGAAATAGTAAGATTGGCCAATTTTCAAGGTATAAATTGGCATCCAAGAAATACTTCAATAACCAATACAGTAACAATTTTGGT